ATATCCCCTACTCTGCACTTGTATGAGGAGGGCAATGGGAAGGACATAGCAACCATTTCTCTGCAGATCCATAGTACCAACTGAAGTACAATAACAACTATATGCCCTGCGTTCTTTTAAACTCCCAAGTTTCATTTGCAATAATTGCTTCAAATGATGCACTATGGACACAATTGAGCACTGCCCTTAATGAAGTCATAAAAATCTCCCAGTATGTAGTATGAGCTGTTCTGTATTCCTCAGATCTTAGAGATTATTTTTTTAAGCAGAATACAGATGAACCCACAGCATTGCAGGACATTATTTCTTACATATACAATATACTGTTAAATTTATTTTAACCTTTACTCCTGATCAAGCCTATTTTCTTAGTTGCCTACTTCTGCAACATTACATTATACATATTCATGGAATTCAAGTACCCATGAGATGAAAAGAGCACTCAAAGAAATCATCAGTGCTGTTTCTTAGCCTAATTTTATTTGCTATCAATGCAACTTTAACAAGTTACTATGCCATCCCCTATTGTACACCACAATCAAAGCATCACTGTGAGTGCCTTTCTAGCCTTATTCTCTCATAAGTAATCTATGCATCTCTGCACAGTTTTACGGTTTTGACCCCAGTATGGCTGGGTCAAAAAAGTGTGTGAAATAATGAGAGGAGAAAGGTAGCATCTTCATATTACATTGTTTTCATACTTTTCAATGCCACAGACAATTCCTTTTTCCCATGTTTCCGTGACCTTGAGAACATGTCATATAAGGTTTCTGAAAGCATGCACAGAATTGGGAGTACTACTTTCTAAAATCAATGCCTTGGAGCAAGCTGGGTATAGCTGACATTTGCAAGAGACAAGACCATCTGCAGGTCAAATATGATGTGTCAATTGGGGGATAGAACAGTTTTTGGAAAAGAAGCTGGGGCTCGATTTGTAATTTAAGGTTGAGAGCACAAGCTTGCCAATGAAAGGGCACACTCAAACTACAAATCAGATATCAACAGTATGACCTTATGAAAACACATAATCTGAAAATTAAAAATAACTCTTCAATATTTATTTCCCCAGAAAACATATCTGCAGAAAACCATGTCTGTTCCCTGAGAGCTAAGAGAAAGGAAAGAAGGTACTAGCACCTCCCTACTCCCCCTCACCCCTAGATTCTCCCTTGATCAAACTATTTGCAGGTTCTGGAAATTTATTTCCAGATTTCAAGAAGTCTATCCTCAGAAGTACAGACTTTAGGAAAAATAATCTCTAAAAACTACAAAAATTCATCAGTAGCAGCTACAGAGGAGTAACTGATAAAAGAAACAAAGCTGTAACATTATTCTTACCAAAATAAATTTTTTAAAGGTTTAAGTCTACAATCTAGGAAGATCAGTGCCACCACCAGTAAGTCAGGATAAGTTCTGAAAAGATTGTTTTAAATAATTACAAGAAAAATCTGTGAAAAGTCTCTTAATAGGAGAAACCTTTATGCTGTACATGCACACTGATACTTGTGCTAGCGAATTTATAACATTCCCAACCTCAACTACAAGGGGCAATCTCTACAAAGGAACATCCCAGGACCTCAAAACAGGTCACTCTCCAGTTCATATGGTTGCTTTCAAACATCAGCAAAGTTAGGATTTTGAAATTATAATCCTAAATGACTTCATGTAATGCTGAAGTTGAGAAGGATTCTGTTTGTACCTTTAAACAAAGAGTTAGCTTCACCAATTCCAGAAGCACAAAAAAAAGCTCATTTGGATTTACATGTAAGTTTCCAGTTTACCAACAAAAAATTAACAATTCAGTCTTCAGCTGTTCAAAGCTTACACAAACAGTACTGCAAAGCAGAACCAGATATCCACCCTTCTCAAAGCTCGGGCAGTAAAGTAAGTCAAAGCTTCAGCTAGCTTTACAATAAGAGACTAAGAAGCTGGACTTTTAACTTCTTTTAAACTTACACCGTGTGTAACAGATTAGGAAGTAAGATATCACTCAGAAGATAAAGTTAAATTGAAACAATAAAGTGCTGCTGGCACTGACTAGGCTATTTCATATGACATGTAATTTTATAAACAATCTTTTCCTGACTAAATTAATATTCAACACAACTCTTGAGCATGATTGCTATCAGTAAAAATGACTGGGAAATTACTACTGATTAAAATACTGGGTTCCATCTAAAAAAAAAAATCATTAGCAGAGACCAACAGACATTTCAGGTTTCAAAATAATTCTTTACATCTTCTAAAGCTAAACCTCATAGGTATTTGGACAAACAAGGGTGAAATAAAGAGTTAAGAATTCACATTCCAAGGCTCTGCAAACTAGTTCATTTTAAGTTTCAATGTCCTGAGGAACCCAATTACTTTAACTTTCTTCAGGGCTCCTAAAACTTTCTTCTCTGATATATTCCAGAGTGTAATCCACTTGAACTCATTCGATTGATCCTACCCATCTATGTTCCACTTGAATTCATATCAATGATAATTTCAAACGTGACAGACTTGAGGCTGTTTTGATATTCTGATTGTCTATTTTTCCAATAGACTCTGAACTTTCCTCTCTGGGTATGCAAAGTATAACACCTAGAGAGTCTTACGTGTTCTAACGTCTCTGAATAACCACCTGTGCCTTACCCTGCAAAGTTAACTTCGTACTACTACAGATATCACTGTCATCCCAAAACTTAATGTGGGGGCTGGGGGGAGGGAAAACAGAGTTAGTTTTAGGCACAGAGGCAGAATTATGAATTTATTTGTACCCCGTTCTGCTCCATCTCAACCAATGCAGCAATAATCTCTATTTTTCTGGCCTGTTATGGACAACTCACATCCACCCACCAGATCAGGAGTCTCAAGTATCATAATTCAAGTCTCTTCCAAATAGGCAGAGAAAAACATTGTCCATTGTGAAAGCTACTATGACTGACATGCCTATGGAGTTTATAATGGAGTGGGGGTTTTGGAGTATTTTTTTTTCCCTCCAATAAACTTATTTCCAGCAGCAGGAACTAAACTACAGTGAGACATTTCTCACTCCATGCCTCTCCTACTAAATTTTTATAACATTAATTCAGTAATTTTTGTTTACCATAAATAAAGCAACCTCTTTGTAGGCTTCTTTCAGAAACACATCTTGGTGAGTTATCAGTAATGGGGACAACAGCAAAATTATGACATAAACCAGTATCTCAGATCTGCCATGAAATATTTCAGCTAAAAAGAAAACTTACTGTTGCTAGTGCAGATTTAGATACTTAAAAGCCCACCAGTGCTTCATGGTTATGAATAAATATGATCCCTTTTTCACAACTGACAGCACTCATTAGAAAACCAAAATATTCATGTTTAAGATGGTACTGAGCAAAGCATAACTGTTAAATAGCTAGTCTATCTTTGAAACATGTTTACATGCTCATTAAAATTAGCATAGATTTCTTTTATTTAGTCCTTTTAAGAAATGTTCAGTTATGTTTTCAAGCTTCTGCTATTTCTTAAGACCATCAGCAGACAGATTATACTTTTGCTGAACAGGTGCAATTTTAAGAACTAGCATTAAATATGGAAATATGGGACTCACAGTAAACACGACGAACATTCATCAGCACATTCCACGCCGTAGTGCCCTTAGTGTTACAATACTACCTGTTTTTAAACACACCCATCAGCAGTTTCAGAGTCAGCATTGCCACTTGCAAACCCATTAATGTGCCCCAGCAACAGTTCAGCAAACGAATCAGTCTTCTATAACTGTATCTTGTCACTCGCAAGAATAAACTACCCTGCTCATAAGTGGAAACACAGATGGACAATCCCACACAACCGCTTTGAGATTAAAGCAGTGAGGCGTGCAGTGACATGACATGCCTCTCCTGAAGAGCATAAAGCCTCCAAAATCTACTTATTAACGTATTAATACAGTCCAAGTACCACAAAACCAAACATTATTATATAAACTATCTCTTTCAGTATTACTTCATAGTGAAGACTTGATTTCTTCTTCCAAATTTTCTCTTCCTTCTGATTCAGTGTCTTTCAAATATATAAATTATTCCCAGGAAGGCCTCTACGGAATTGTCAAATAACCACAGAGAGTATCTGAATGATTTGCAAATGCATTTAGACCATTACTATAATCATGGTATTATACAATTAAAACAGTCTTTACTTTTTTAGCTCTTTTGCAGATGCACATGAACAATCCATGCAAAGTGTTAGATAACACAGATCTCAAGATCAGCCACCTGAGAACTTAGTCAAGACAGAGACTTTTTCACTAGCTTCCACTTCTAGTGTAAGTCATAAAACAAATTAACACACAAAACCAGAGGAAAAGCCAAGCCAAATAAATACAATTTCACAATAAAGAACGTATGAAGCATCAATATTGCAGTTACTCAACAAAATCTTCCACTTCTTATTTTATTGGAAGCCTTGATAGTTTTCTATTTTAATACAGAACTACATATCTATTATTTGATATTAATGATTTTAATAGCTCCTTCTTTTCTAGTTTTCCTTAAAAATCAGATTTCAAAGTGTCAGAATAACTAAGGTTGACATGAATGGGAAATCTTAATCCTATTTTCAGTTGTTTAAATAACTCATCTCCGAAAAGCTGATACTCTAAAGTTTACTTTTCAAACTAAGATGGTGGAATCCCTGTTTGGCATTACCTGAACTCAGGAATCAAATACTCAGCTCCTATTGGAGGCTTCACTTCATTAAATTCCTTGAGAGATCCCAGCATTTGTGTTTTGATTCTTTCAGTCACTACATTCATGAAGTTATAAAAGCATATCTTCTCCTCACCTTTTCAAACTAGGCTTCAAACTTTATTAGACAACTTGGTCTTCCAACAACAGGGGAATTACAAGAGAGATTCAACAGATAAATTTCCTAAATGTGTCTTTTCCTCAATTTAAAAAGAACAAAGACAAAAAGCCCACAAACCAAAGCCATACAAAAAACCGAAACCAACTTGTGGCGAAGGACACACCAACCTGCAACAAAATGGCAGTTTTATGTTGGCTTTTCATCAAGTTGTTGATGGATTCAAAGAGTCTCCTCATAGATTCTTCAAATTCTGTTTGTTCTTTGCCTTCATATAATCTGTTGAGAGATGCATTGAGTTATCTTTTCAGAATCATCAAGTTTCCTAGTCCTAGGTGTACCAGATTTAACATAACCTAAAAATATACTGTAAGTTGATCCAATATTATGTACACAGATATTTTACCCATGGGTTATATCTGCTATTCACTGTATTGTGTAAAAATTCTTTGGCTTGAACAAAACATAAGTATTTTCCATTTTTTTTCAAAGTCTCTAAAGAATGACACCGCTTGGACATGGGCTTATAAAAAAAAAAGTCATTTCACTTTCAAAAAAAAAAATGATGTATAGTCAGTCACTTTCACTTATATGTAAAAAAAATGTTTTTATTCCCCACTAAAACTGAGCTACCCTAGGATATTTTTCACCTATTATCACTGTTTCTTTCTTCTGCTGTTATTGCCACTTTTTCAAATAACTATTTTCACTGTCCCCATTAACCAGTTTGCTTCTTGAAAATGGTCTCAAATTGATGCTTGGAAGTTAAAAAGTGCATTTAAATTAAGCTCACTCCATCATTTCTTCATTCTCTGTCCTAAAGTTTGAATCTTTCAGATTATCTCTTCTGTATTGTACATATCAGCTATTCATACTAAATACTGCTTACATAAACAGTAAAAAACACTGATGACACATTAAATTAGTTACCTGAAACAGCTGTTAAGGTTAAAGAAAAACAAGCCAAGAAAAAAGCCAAGGTGACAAGAGAAGCCTGAAATGTGTGTAGCATACTATGAACTAAACGCTGCACCTCTGATGTAATGCCTTGTCTATCAGAAGAGAAAAATTCCTCTTTTTGAAGTCATGTATTCCAATGTCATGTGCTTTTCTTTTCAACTTGAAACTGAAGTCCTTAAGACATCTAGAGGTAAATTAAGAGCTTGTCTACAGCAAGGAAAAAATCAAAACTGCCATTCATACAGTGACTAGCAAGAAGCTTTCAGAAAAGGAAAACACTGAGAGGTACGCTATTCAGGCGCATGGCCTCTGCGCTGTTTAGGTCAATGCTTGTCAACGAGATTTAAGTCAGTTATTGGAAAGGAACCCAAAGATCCAAAACATTATCTGGAGAGGAAAAAAATCACATATACATATATACAACATACATGATGCACACTATTTGAGGCACATCGCTACTGAGGTGTGACAGCATACCAGAAAAAAAACTTTGATGTGAAAGGCATCTTGAAAAAGAAAGCTTTAGTAAAAATCACACTTACATAGAAGAGTCACGTTATTTATTATCAAGTGGTATTTTAAGGAGCTTGGGTTTTGGTTAAATGATTTAATATTTTTTTAACATACTGGAGATAGCGGCATATAGGGGCTTTCAAAATTATTTTTCAATGTCAATGAAGTACATGCAAGTTGTAACAACGTGACAGTCTACGTGTTTATTGAAGTTACTTGGCTAATGCACTGACATGGTTTTCACTGACTATACATCATTGCTGTAGAAGTAAATGAAGTTTCTTAAATGTTCTAACGCAAGTGGGAATTGGAAGCTTTCTGGACTAACCCTGTTGGGCAAGGAAGACAGCAGAAGAATCACACAATACGTATTAAATACGCTTTTTAAATTTACACCAGGACTAATTTAAACCAAGTAGAATGATATTTCTATTTCCTCACTCATGTTCTAGCTTCCTATTAGATACAACTTTCTGTGTTAAATTTCAATTAAAATCATTTGTTCTGAATGCAAATTTTAAAAGATGACTAATTATTTGCTTGGCAACAACATCACAGCAGCATACGTTAATTTCACCACCAAAACCAAATTTAGGCCAAGGAAAGGAGGAAAGCAAACATTTCATGTTTTCAGAATCTGTATTATGTAAACCTTTGGCTAATATATGTGACCTTTCTACAAAACATAGTCACTGAACAAAGAGCTGCAAGACATATCTTTAGTTCAGCTGACTGGAGTAAAAAAAGGTTTGCTTTCATTTCACCCCTAAAGCTTCAACAGGATTGAATGAATGCAAATTGAAGTAGAACTTGCTTATCTTCTATGTATTTGCCTGACAAGATAAAAAAAGTCTCTCATTATGTTTAACGTTAGAACTCATTATTCCTCTCTTTCCTGCATAATTTTGACTTCGTAATGTCTTACATTTCAACAAGCCACCTCAGTTTCTTAAGCAGCCCATCAAATTAATGAGAACCATCTAAAAATCTGTCTCAGCTCTATTAATTCAAAATATTTGTCTACAAGAAGGCTAATCTCAACCCTTGAAAGTGAAGTACTTTAATTGTAAATCCTAACTTTTCTCATGGCAAGAAAATATACTAATCCTTCCTGCCCCCCCTCCCATTTTCTTCTTTTTCATGATCAGTCTGACAACAGGAAACTGACTGCAAAAAGTTAGATCACAACAGCTGTAGATGGATATACAGTAGCAGATGATGCTTTTCACTGGTCATTTTTCCCAGCGGCTGCCATTTGCAAGAGCTAGTACTGCCTACAATAGGAATTGTCCAACTGAATTGAGATTTTCAGACCTCCACTTAAGGCATTTACAGGAAAAACTAGGAGTAGATATGTATAGCTAATCACTTGAACATGCAACATATTGAAATAACCTCATTTACCACCGATTGCCCAACGTACAATTTTTGCTGCCAGCTAATACTAGGGATTCAAAGGGAGACCAAAGCTGTCCCAGCAAAAAAAACATGCCTTCTGACCTTCATCCATATAAGAAATTTTCTATAATCCTCTACACAATGCTTCCTTCCTCAATACCCTAAATGCCCCCTCTTGTCATTACACCTATTAAAAAAATTGAAAATAAAGCTTTTGAACTACTAGCTGTATTCTATTCTCAGAAGTACCATCTCCTTCCTTATACAGCTTTCACCTTGCTTATCTGTATCCACCTATAAACAGCAAATTACTAGAGACAAGAATATTTCTAAAAGACTATCTACTAGCAACAAATAACTTCTGAATCTACTCCTACTTCAACCAAGACTTCATAATTCATCAAATCAACTTAATTTTACAAAACTATAAACCCACATGGATATTTTGGAAAAAATGGGCAGTGGAATCATAGAAATATTTTATTAGAGCTTCCACTGAGGGAAAGATAGATAAACCAGAACCTTTCTGTTCTGTTGACTGCCAGTCACAAAGATAACATGCAACGACTCAGTCTGCCTAGAGTCTACTCTGAGTAGACTTGCCACTGCCTATCTTCTGGCACTGCATTCCTTCAGCCATGTAGCAGAGGGAGAACAGAACAAGTATTAGGGTGAAAGCAGCTAAGGGTAAATGAAACAGGTGAAGCAGAAGAGAGGAAACAGAGGTTGTGGATGGGGTCTGCAGGATATGGTGAGAGTCCTGAAGGGCTATGGGGGGAAGTGGGAGACACAGTTACCATAGTGTAATAGGTACTCCCAGCCTTCATTTCCTTCATTCTCCCCATCTCCCTTTCCCTAAACCTGAATATCCCTTGTAAATATTTTGCCTCATCTGTTTGGCTGAGCTATACATACCTAGTCCATTGAGTCTTCCCTATAAAGTCCTCAACTGGAGACCTGAAACTCTAAACTTAGTTGGATAAAGATTACTGAAAATTACATTGTTGTATGCACAGTCTGAGCTGCTGAACACCACGATCTCAAGGACAAGCATTCAGCTTCAAGCCATCTGTCACAACGTTTAGCCATCCACTGGTCCTAGCCCAAACCACCTGACACAAAGAATAACCACTCTTTGAAATCAGCTGCTCTTACTAAATACGTCTCTGGAACTTACACTGTGAATCAGAAAGTAGATTTCTGAAGATTCCCTCTCAAAAAAAAATCTCAGCAATGTCTGTATTTTAGGCCAGTTGCCAGCTTTTAAGTTTTATTTGTAAAAATAAAAAACACAGTTCTGCTCTGGAATCAACTTCTTCTGTTTCTGAGATCCACTTCCATTTCTGATATCGGCCTGCTAGTAAAACAGCAATATAGCCTGGATACTTACTGTGAAAATAATGTCCTTGACCTAACAATGAACTTGAAAACATATTCCAGTGCTTTCAGAGTTCTTAGGATAGGTTCGCACTGCTCCCCTCGACTGGAGGTATCCAAGTAAGTCTTCAGAACAGTCATTAATTTCCTGAAATTAAAAAACATTTTTAAAATAATATTTTTTTAAAAGTTTACTTCTCTAACTTGTTTGGCTGCTGTAAATAAACACTTATGCTTAGTCAAGCACACACAACAAAGCGTACTGCATCTATTTTCGCATTTATGTTGCACAAATTCTATCAGCATAAACAAGCAAGGAACAAATTTTTAACTGCACAAGCAAGAAAGCAATCTGAAACCTTAAAACAGCAGCATAACTTGACACAATCCTGGAAGCACTTTTAGAGATTTATAATGTATATAAATGTATATAATGTATATAAATGTACTGCCTACCTACATTAAGCAGTGATTAAACACCACTACATGCTCTATACCAACTGCACACCACTACATGCTCTATACTAACTGCATGTAAATAGCACAATATTCTGGTACACAGCAATATCCGCTTTTATATCCACAGCAATATCCATACTTTTATGGATTTTATTTAAACACTTCTTTGCTTTGTATCCAAAGGCAATTTTTTGCTAAACACACAATCTGCTGAAAGAAGTGCAAAAGCTCACCTACAATTATGTCCCTTCATTTATAGTTGCGGTTCATCTTAAACGATTAAACTAATACTAATGGTGTAATCTTCATCTCAATGTAGCCATAAGAACTAAAATAAGGGTGGTTGGGCTTTTTTCTTGCCTCACTACCAAATGGAAACCTATTATCCCCTACCCTAAACAAACAAAACCAGCCAACCAAACTAAAACAACAAAACCAAGCTAGCACTTGCATGGTGATGAAACTTAACAGTTCACCAACAGGACTCATGAAACATTAGCAAGTGATTACTACGTACTTGAAACACACTTGCATGCAAATAACAGCTCCAAGAACTGCTTGCTACTGCACAGGGCAGGGGTGTGTACATATGTATCTATGTTTATCTCTATCTATGTAACTGTTAGACACATCCTCAGCCCCACTGCACCAGCCTAACTCACATTTCAGGACCCAAATATCATGCTTTCAGCCTCTCAGCCTTCTGGGCACCACATCCATTGTGTGTTTCCATTTACTCCTGTTTATAGCTTCTCTGAATTCACAGCTTTGTCCTGAGCTGGAACAAACTTTATCCAACTTGCCTGTAGGTGCAGTTCACTCAAGGTCCCTAAACCATCAATGTTAAGTCCTCTCAGAACCCTATAAAAGCTAGGTACAAACGAATGACCAAATAGGAACTGAATAAACAGCTAACAGTTTGGCCAAAATTGCATGCCAAAATATGTCTGGGAGTCAGTATCTCCTTCCTAACTCTGAGCTAGGCCACATACAGCTATTGGTTTATTTTATAAATGATTCTTTAAACAGAGTACATTTTCATGATGTGCATGGAATCAGTGATGTTAAGAAAGCTCATGATTTGGGGAACAATCATAACCACTATTTTGCCTCTGCCACTTTGATTAAATCATTAGAAATTCTTAGACAGGTAAGTTTTAGAAATATTTTAAGCAAATAAGGCTGTCCTTAGAGGTTCCATACCCAGCCTTCTCCTCTTTCACAATAATATAAAGCATTAAATTACACATGCTTATTACTTACAGAGTGAAGGACTAGGAGCAGCATGTAGCTTGCGCTTGAGCTCTCTGAACCCAATACTGCTAACTTCAACTTTCTTAGAACGTGAGAAAGGATTGATTGTGCACTACGGTCTTTCAATTCCAGCAAATTCTTGTTCCAATTCCTGATTGGTGCGATATTCCTTGTTGAGTTGGAACTGATGGAAATTCAGCACAGGATACCACAAGATATCCTCAGCTACTCCAAACCTTCAGCTAAGGTCTTCCATCTACTATTCATATCCCAAATTAAAGTTATGCTTCAATTTGCCACCCCATTAAGCTACCAGAATAAGACTTCAGGTAGATGAAAAAATACATCTACCCTGTTATGGCACTTCCCCAGGATCAGCACTAACTGAAAATGCTATCTTTCTTCATATTTCAAAGCAATTTTATCCTACCATCATCTGCAAAAAACTTGTTCAAAAAAAAGGTAGGAATCCAGTATTAAATTCACTGTATAACATGTCTCCAAAGTTTTTATTCTCTTATAAGAATCTATGTCTTCCCATCTGGAATCTCCAAAAAAAAAAAATTAAAAAAAAAAAAATCACCACAACTCTGTTCACCTGCCCACTACCATGACCATGTAACAAACACTAAGACTCCAGTTGTGCTGGTTTTGGCTGGGATAGAATTAATTTTCTTCACAGTAGCTAATATGGGATCGTGCTCTGGATTTGTGCTGGAAACAGTGTTGATAGCACAGGGATGTTTTGGTTACTACTGAGTAGTGTTTCCACAGAGTAGAGGTCTTTTCTGCTTCTCACCCCACCCCACCAGCGAGTATCCTCGGAGTGCACAAGAACTTGAGAGGAGGCACGACTGGGACAGCTGAGCCCAACTGACCACAAGGATATTCCACATCATACAATGCCATGCTCAACATGTACAGCTGGGGGAAGAAGTGGTACAGCTGGGGGAAGAAGTGGGGATGCTCAGAGTGATGGAGTTTGTCTTCCCAAGTCACAATTAGGGGTGATGGAGCCCTCCTTTCTTGGGGATGGCTGAACACCTGCCTGCCCATGGGAAGGAGTGAATGAATTCCTTGTTTTGCCTTGCTTGCCTGCACAGCTTTAGCTTTATCTATTAAGCCGTTTTTATCTCAACCCACTTTCTTATTTTTACTCTTCTGATTCTCTCTCCCATCCCACCAGGAGAGGTGAGCGAGTGGCTGTGTGGGGCTTAGATGCTGGCTGGGGTTAAACCACAACACCAGTTCACAGTCAAACACATAAGAAATACCAAAATTCCAGTTCACTGCACTTGAACACTCCTGGTGCAACATTAGACCACGAACCGCATATGAAGACTTAACAGTTCCCAAACAATTTTTTCCCCCATGAGTTTGTTTGCTGTAAAAGAATATGTGAAAACCTATATAAATGGGTTAAGAACACTCTCAAGTCCTCACTTCAGACATTGCAGGTTAAAGTCACGAATGTAAAGGAAGAGGCTTTACAGCACAGTATCTTTAGACAAATTTGACAGGATACAGGTCAAGTGTTCAGACACAGCAAAATCCAGATAAGAGAAAATGGAACACCAAAGAATCATTTAGCCCCAAATGAACTACTGTTTGTCAATTAACTCTATTTTAGTCACTTGTCTCTCACAGGCAGGTTTGTTTGCAAATAAGCAAATAGCAGCATCAAAACAACAGTAATCATTCATTACATCAGAAAAGTCACAAACAGGTTTTACTTTCCTTAATGTGAACAGTGGAGGTTTAGAAAAAAAGAGAAAGAAGAAAAGAAAACAAACTTACTTGTATGCCAATGTTGCACTAAAATGTTGTTGGATATATGCTTCCAAAACAGTGTTAAAATGTTGAAACTTACGGTCTGCAATGAGTCCTATGATATATATCTAAACAGACATGGACATAATTAGCATTTTTCATAAAGTCACATTTTAAAATTCAGTATCTGTCTTCTGGAATGTTTTAGATAACGCACTATTTAAGAGTTCTTAAAGAAATTTGTTTTTCAGTCAAATAGTAATATTCCATTGGTTCTGTAGAGATTTCAAGGCTAATTCCCTGAAATAAACAGCTTGATAGCTCACTCAAAATTACAGGGTTCTTTACTTTGACAAATAAAATCTTTCGGTGCTGATTCTTACCAGTGCATCAAAGACAAGGATGTCATACTCATTACTGTGGGAATGTTCCATCATGATGTTAAACAGGGCATCCAGTGTGTCTTGGAGAAACTAGAGAATAACATGAAACAACAAACTGGCAACCAACTCAACTTAAAAATCTCACAAGTTAGTTTTCAGATAGTACACTTGGTTTCTCTCCAGTTAGAATTTTAAAGGCCTTCACTTAAACATCATTTAAATTCAGAAAACATTTCTGAGGATTTAGGCTCTACTTTAATTTTAAGAACCTACATCCTCAGACACATGAGCAATCAATGTTTTGCTCAAAGCTTATGGAAAAGCTAAAAATATTATTTAAACAACATAACTACTTATCTGTATCACTAAGGAATTAGGAATGTACTTTTAGATAGCTGGTATTTTCACATATACATGAGGATTAAAAACACATTTCATATTTCTATGGTCTGATTCAAAGTCTACCTTAAATCAAAAGAAATCACCCCAGTGACTTGGGACCCAAATCTTTGTTTGGTTAAAAATATTTTTTTTTTAAGTTCTCCTTCCTCCTTCTTTCCAGAGAGGCATCTAATACTTATAGAGTAAAACAATCACAATAGTGTCTGCAACGTTCCAAAACATTAACAAGTTTTTGTTCCTATTATACTCATTAAATTAACAAAGCACTTCACTGAGAACATAATACACTTTTTCTTTTTAATGACAACATGTAAATTAATATTAAGAATTTTAAAGAAAGCAGTAGGAATAATTTGTGATGTTTCAGTTAGACAAAAGCAAACAGTTGAACAGATTGTGGAAAATATTTTACCATTACTGCCTTCATATCCTAGCAAGTTGTTAAATAAAATTTTCTGTGCATGCTCAAAATTAAAGTTTACCTGTGGCAAATACATAAGCACCTCACCAAAGCACCAATGACTCCGAGTAATAGTCTTGGTATTGAATTCTCCATTCATGCACAAAATTTCCAGCAAAATAAAACAGTACAAAGCAGAAAAGGATCTCAATAAATTAACCACCAGTGAAAGCAGGCAGATTTGACTCATGATTTTGCAAATCTCCACAGCCTAACAGTAGATGATACCGGACATGTTTGGGAGCAACAAGTAAGAAAAAAAAAAGATGGCTAACACTCTGAAGAATTCCATCCAGGTGCTTGCTTCCTTGCTTGCCTCTAACGAAGAGCTTTGCTCATGTCTTTGCAAACCATCCGTAACTAAAGCATTACACTGAACAACGCTCGTAAAAGAACATATAATTGACAGGCTTCTTTAAGTTCCTATGTTTACTGTAACTGACCCTCCAAGTTTCTTTTTCACTTTGAAATTATGTAGCACTTTTTCTGCCATGGCACGAAGGAACATGAAGAATAACTATTATTAGAATAACTAGATAAAAATATACCTTCACAACTTCCTCTCCATCCACAATCTTCAGTTTCTCCAGGTTCTCCTGAAGCAGCTCTGGCTTCATACGCCACTTCAAGAGACCTAGTAAGCCCACTAATAGAAAATAAATGCACAGATGTTCAAATTTAACATGTGATTTATCATTCGTGCAAATGCCTTCTTTTTAAAACTTCTACCTGTTTAGAAGATACATACCATTCTGAGTTAGCTTCGTAGAACAAACAAGAGTTGAAATATAAAACGCATCTCGTGAGCTTACTGAAAGGCCCCCTACAATACTTGAGTTCCTGACTAAGGTTGCTCCTTTATTTTCTACGTGTTGACGTGTAGAAGGTAATGTCAAATAAGCACTAGCATCCTCCATTTTTTTACTCTCCCCCTGAAAAACAACATAGCATTTATTACATATTTCACACCTATAGATTTAAAATTAGACTTATTTTGGACTTTCTACAAAAGTAAACAAAAAGTTATGTTTCTACAGGATTAAATGCATGCACTAAAGGATTAAGGACAGTGAAGTGCCAGCGTTGCTCATACAGGTAAACCAAGAGCCAATGTTAGTCAGCAAGAAAGGTTGCAACGAAGATGCAGGGAAAATACTACACTGAAATTATAAAGCTTTGTGTTTTAAGGTGCAGGAAGGAACTATGAGGGGTGACATCACTGGCAGAGTAAAAACAGAAGCGGTTTTCTCATTAAAACACCAATAGCTGCAGAACACAACAGCCTATTGAGCATCACCTTGAAGACTGTACACAGAATATATACAACATGGTTACGATGTCTGCACACAATTTAAGAACAGAAAATGGGACTGAATAGGAAAAGAATAGCAGTATTATTTTAATATGCTCACTATAACTTAATACCTAGACCTTTAGCACAAAAGATCAGGACACGGCAAGACTGTATTTTAAATTAGACAATACTCTGCAGTAGCTAAGTGACACGTATCACGGAACTCATGCTTTTCAGTAGAAGGAACAGTCCAAAAATAGAGAGCCAACAGGTATTTTTCCCTCCTCTACTTCATCAAGTTGCATTCCACAATCCTCACAGTTTTTTTTTGTGTCTCAACTTCTGATTTTCCTCCAGACAAGAAAGCAGTTTTAGACAAAGACAATAAAAATCATACTTCTCACTGGTTAGAAAATACAATTTTTCTTTAACAAAACTACTGAAGAAAATTTCCCCAATGAGTTTATAAGCTCTGTCACTTAAAGCTACAACATCATGACAGATTTGACTCAATTACAGAGTCCCTTAGTCTACAATTCTGCACAAACAAGTATTTTCGAAAACCATATTCTAGAATAGTTTTCTAAAGTTTTGGGTTTATATCTGATTCAGTAACTGTAGATGTGCAGACTCTACTTCCTATGAAACAAGAAATAAGGTTAAAAATTGACTGCAAAGAGACCTAGACAGACAAAAGGCAAACGCCTTATGCAAAAAAAAAAAAAATAGACAGCATTACTATTATAATTGTATCAAGCTTGCTGAATGATTACTTCTCAGAATTTCTGGAACCAGAATAGAATCTTGACTTCCTCTTTTCGAGACAAGTTAGGCAGAAAACGGGGAAAAGAGTTGAAATTGATCCAAAAGTTTCTCAAAAAGATTCAATGACTTAAGGCAGTGAAAGTTAAGAACGCTTTTTTAGGAGTTTTCAAGTTACTTATTTTGAGAGGTCAGATATACAACTGTTTAGGACTTACAGCTTACAATTACTGTGTTTAATACTAAAATAGGCAAACATATGTCAGAAAATCTGTCTATCGCTCCCAAACATAAACTAGGTCAACTCCGGTTAGCATTACTCATCCATGCTGTCACTTTAGGAAAAATTACTGAGTTGATGTAAGGATTAATTAGATGGAATTTCATAACCAACATTAACACACAGTCACACAACGTGATCACTATTTTCCTTCTGGTATAAGTACGTATCAGTGTTGGTATCAATGAAGAGAAGATAAAAAACTATACAGTGCCATTAATCTTTGTTGGACTACCTAAACAACTTGATTTAGTTGTATGTATCTCACTTGCCATTGATGTTATGGCAAACTAGTTTAATAAAAAGACCACTAAGAAATACCTAAAGTTAAATTTTTTCTGTATTGGAAGTGATCTCTGGTCCTTAGTTCCTGCTAGACACTACTCTCCAAAGGAAAAAAAAAAAAAACCACAAAAATCAAACACACACAACCAATGAAAAACAAATCTGACACATCTGTTCCCTGCTTCAGTTGACAATCTGACACATCTGTTCCCTGCTTCAGTTGACGTCAAAAATGCTACCTGTGTCCAACCAGGTTGAGCCAAAAGTATTCTTCACATTCAAAATCAAATTCCTGAAACTTCTACTTTTGTACCTGAGTAACTACACAGAGTAGTTTCAATCAATTCCCCAAGATTACATTCTGTGATTATTCATGTGACAAAGATTCTAAATGAACCAAAAGAACACTTTCACCCCTTCCAAGCAAGAATAATGGTACACATCCAGGTACTGAGCATAAGCATGACTTCCTCTGTGCTACAGAAGGCCAAAACCACAAACTTTAGTAAAAATAGTAAGAAGAGTAACCATCTTCCATTGTACTTAGATAACTTCTCTCTCAAAATTTAGAGCAACGTTTACTGACTGTAGAACAAGTTGCATCAGTTTTTTGTTCAGACAAAAAATGTAATATTTATATTTGACAGAAAAATAAAGTTAATCTAGCACTAAGAAAAGAAACAATGCAGTCAAAGGCAACAATGTGGAAAAAAAAAATAAAAAAGGTGTCTTGGGAGAAAGCAAGGAAAAAAACTGATCCAATACCTTCAGAACTAACAAATCATGGATGCCATCTTGAAGAGTTGTTCCATCCTCCTTCATTAGTCTTATGTAGGCCATTGCAAAATTCTTTTCTCCTTTATCTTTAGCTGCGAAGAAAATATTATCAGCTGACCATCCATCAATGAATTCAAATTTAATAAAGTAAAAATTCCCTACTTACACTCTTGGGAAGACCTGTGCCTGAACATGAAGCGTAGATGTATCCTTTGCATGTCTTCAATAGGGACTGCTACCTTTTGTGAAATCAGAAAATTAATAGTTATGGGGGGCAGCAGTGGAAGGTGATTTCATGTTTAATAAGCTCCTGTTTTAGAATAAATAAGCATCACTTCTGCTGGTTCCATAATGCCTTTCATAGACCATTTAAAACTAGTCAGCCCGATCACAATCGGCTTAAGCAGAAGTGATGGCTGATAAACCATTATCTGTTAGACTTTGCTCAAAGTCTAGCACCACCAAATAAACGAAGAACTGAATCCAGTGAGTTAAAGAACACAGGTGCTTGTACACTAGAAAATAAGCGTACTGCAGTCTTATCACTTACCCTATTAACCATATAGACTTATGCAATACCTCTGCACTATCAAACTTCCATGTTTCATACAAATTGGTGATTAATTTCATAAACAGGTGAAAATGTATGAAAATTCTAGCTAAATGAATTAAGTATATTTTTGTGATTAAATTCAGTTTCAAAGCCTAGAGTAGAATGCCAAGAACTCACAAATGCTTTATTCTTAAAGTAGCATACCTATTTATAACAAATATGCAATAAAGAAATGTAAGAAAAAACACATATTTTTATGTTAAGTTCATAGTTCTGAAACATTAATGACTTGGATTCCATTATGTTCCTGCAAAACTCTTCTTCACAATTTTTACTGCATAACACTCCTTCACATTAACTGTACTTTTCAAAAGCATCTACTGTTAATGATTCTGTATAAAAGTCTGATTAACAGAATAATTTTAAAATTAAAACACCACAGTAAGCAAAAAACAGAATGGGTCCATTCTCTCCCTGTCCTGGCCAATCTTGGTCGCACAACTTAGTGTAATAATTGTAGGCTTGTCATACATGGCAATACTGTCTTCACACAAAAAAAAAAAATATCATGCTTGCCAGCAAGCCTGAGACATGCTTCCTAAGAACTATTTCTGGAAGCTTCTGGGCGTTTTCCACAAACATTAAAACTAGATTACATACTAATTGGTGCATCTCTAAAGAAATTCGAGGCAGTTTTTCTCTCTGAAATCGTACTGTTTTGGGGGAGGGGGTTGGGTTTTGGTTTGGAGAGTTGTTTCGTGGTGTTGGTTTTTTCTTTTAAATCATGCAATAGAAGCTCCTCACCTCCACTGTTTCACCGCCACGGGACAAATGCGGTATTTCAGTTTTGATGAGCCGTGTTAGAACACGAGGTTATCTAAGATGGCCTCAGCTGTTTTACCAAACAAAACCTTACCACCTTTTCTAGGCCAAATTTTAAGCTTCAGTAATCGTCTCTCTCTAATAACTGATGTATGACTAACACTCCATCCTTCCAGCTGTATACAGGACCAAGGAGTTTTTTTAGAAAAAGCTGAAGCTGTGCTATTTTTCTGTGTGAGGTACTAAGAAATTAAAGTGAAAAAAAAAGCAAGTGAAAAGCACGTACGCCATACCTTTAACGTTTCCATCCAACGCGGCTGTTTGACCTGGTAGTAAAGAACCGATCTATATTCGCTGACGGGTTTGTCCCCCGCTCCCAAGCAAACGGCATTCTTACGAAAAGAAGGGAAGAAATGTGCTTAGCGGCTCATTAGTGACTCTAAATTGTTACCACTTGAGCAAAACCAGGCACGGAGAAGCACGGCCACCGAGCGAGAG